AAATTTACAAAAATAAAGGATGTTTGGCTCGCAATTTGGAAAGGAATATGACCTTTTTAATGCAATAAATGGATTACAAATTTACTTCAGGCAACTTTCATCACGTTCTAATGAAGTAACAAACTTATTTTGCCGAAAGTTAGAATGATTTGATGTACAGTGTATGTTCTCGAGTCTCGCAGAAGTGATAAAAATTGTCTTCATGAAATAACATGCAACCAACTTTAGTCAATGCTCCGTTGTGGTTGTCGCCTTTCGATCAGAGAAAAACCCGATCTCGATCCAGATAACGTAAAAGGGCACATGGCGTCAAATTTTTCGGAAGAAAAAATGCATGGCGCCCAAAAATAAACTGCTTCGCTGAGCGCAGCTGTATACGCCCGCAGAGGTCCAACCCTGAACAGTTGGGCCAAAAATGGACACAATATTCAAGCTTGATACAGGTCTGAATTTGGATTGTATTAAATATTTGACATATTATAGGTTTCTGAATAAATGTAGTCATAGAACTTGAAATTGGTTATATGAATTGAATTAATATTCAATTAAAGATTTCTTGCTGTTGTGCAATGCGCTGTGCTGTTGCGCAATACTTAGTAAATCTGTTGTCAAGACTATAAACAATTAAAGTTCAATTAATTCTCAATGTCATATTAGAAATTTATGAAAATGTAAAGGGAGCTTACATCAATAGATATAAACAATTCACCAAAGTGTCATGAGAATTGCTGACAGCATTTTTGAGTTATTGTCTGAAAACTAGAAAATCCCCCCTTTTTTAATGAATAAAACCCCACAACTCAGAAATGTAAAATGTAACATTTATAAAATTCTAAACGGAGCTTACATCAATAGATATAAACAATTCACCAAAGTTTCATAACAACTGCTGAAAGCATTTTTGATTTTTTGTCAGAAAACTGGAAAATCCCCCTTTTTTTATGAATAAAACCCTGTAACTCGGAAACGTAAAATCTAAAATATATAAAAATAGAAAGGGAGCTCATGTCAATAGATATAAACAATTCACCACAATTTCTTGCAAGTTGGTGAAAGCATTCTTAAGTTATTGTCCGAAAACTGGAAAATCCCCCTTTTTTTAATGAATAAAACCCCATAACTCTGAAACGTAAAATCTAAAATTTATAAAAAACGAAAGGGAGCTCACGTCAATAGATATAAACAATTCACCAAAGTTTCTTGCAAATTGGTTTAAGCGTTTTTGAGTTAATGTCCGACATGTTGACGACGGACAGACAGACGGACGGACGGACAGCGGTATACCATAATACATCCCGTAAAAAGGCGTATAAAAAGGGCATGCTAAATTACTTTAGATAAAACACTAAGTTAACTCTGTAATTTGGTGTCAAATAAGAAAATTCCTCAGGAAGATAATATCAAAAAGGATTTCCTCCCCTTTTTCTATGTCTATAAAAATATCAAAATAAATATCATCTTTTGATATTAGAGGGATTTCAATATGTCCTGTATATAGGGTAACACGAATGACTGAATAACACCGTTATTATCCAAATAACACTTGTAATGACCGAATAACACTTGAAATTTTAATATTAGCACGTATTTGTGACATTTAAACATTGATTATTAAATAATATTATATTATATGTGTATTTTATAACTTAATAAACTGCTTCGCTGAGCGCAGCTAGATACGCCCGCAGAGGTCCAACCCTGAACAGTTGGGGCAAAAATGGACACAATATTCAAGCTTGATTCAGGTCTGAATTTGGATTGTAATTAAATATGACATATTATAGATTTCTGAATAAATGTAGTCAAAGATCTTGAAATTGGTTATATGAATTGAATTTATATTCAATTAAAGATTTCTTGCTGTTGTGCAATACTTAGTAAATCTGTTGTCAGACTATAAACAAATAAAGTTCAATTAATTCTCAATGTTATATTAGAAATTTATGAAAATAAAAAGGGAGCTTACATCAATAGATATAAACAGTTCACCAAAGTTTCATGAGAATTGGTGACAGCATTTTTGAGTTATTGTCCGAAAACTGGAAAATCACCCCTTTTTATTGAATAAAACCCCATAACTCAGAAATGTAAAATGTAAAATTTATAAAATTCTAAAGGGAGCTTACATCAATACATACAAACAATTCACCAAAGTTTCATAAGAATTGCTGAAAGCATTTTTGAGTTTTTGTCCGAAAACTGGAAAATCCACCCTTTTCTTATGAAAAAAACCCTGTAACTCAGAAACGTAAAATCTAAAATTTATAAAAATTGAAAGGGAGTTCATGTCAATAGATATAAACAATACACCATAATTTCTTGCAAGTTGGTGAAAGCATTCTTGACTAATTGTCCGAAAACTGGAAAATCCCCCTTTTTTTAATGAATAAAACCCCATAACTCTGAAACGTAAAATATAAATTTTATAAAAAACGAAAGGGAGCTCACGTCAATAGATATAGACAATTCACCAAAGTTTCTTGCAAATTGGTTTAAGCGTTTTTGAGTTAATGTCCGACATGTTGACGACGGACAGACAGACGGACGGACGGACAGCGGTATACCATAATACATCCCGTAAAAAGGCGTATAAAAAGGGCATGCTAAATTACTTTAGATAAAACACTAAGTTAACTCTGTAATTTGGTGTCAAATAAGAAAATTCCTCAGGAAGATAATATCAAAAAGGATTTCCTCCCCTTTTTCTATGTCTATAAAAATATCAAAATAAATATCATCTTTTGATATTAGAGGGATTTCAATATATCCTGTATATAGGGTAACACGAATGACTGAATAACACCGTTATTATCCAAATAACACTTGTAATGACCGAATAACACTTGAAATTTTAATATTAGCACGTATTTGTGACATTTAAACATTGATTATTAAATAATATTATATTATATGTGTATTTTATAACTTAATAAACTGCTTCGCTGAGCGCAGCTAGATACGCCCGCAGAGGTCCAACCCTGAACAGTTGGGGCAAAAATGGACACAATATTCAAGCTTGATTCAGGTCTGAATTTGGATTGTAATTAAATATGACATATTATAGGTTTCTGAATAAATGTAGTCAAAGATCTTGAAATTGGTTATATGAATTGAATTTATATTCAATTAAAGATTTCTTGCTGTTGTGCAATACTTAGTAAATCTGTTGTCAGACTATAAACAAATAAAGTTCAATTAATTCTCAATGTTATATTAGAAATTTATGAAAATAAAAAGGGAGCTTACATCAATAGATATAAACAGTTCACCAAAGTTTCATGAGAATTGGTGACAGCATTTTTTGAGTTATTGTCCGAAAACTGGAAAATCACCCCTTTTTATTGAATAAAACCCCATAACTCAGAAATGTAAAATGTAAAATTTATAAAATTCTAAAGGGAGCTTACATCAATACATACAAACAATTCACCAAAGTTTCATAAGAATTGCTGAAAGCATTTTTGAGTTTTTGTCCGAAAACTGGAAAATCCACCCTTTTCTTATGAAAAAAAACCTGTAACTCAGAAACGTAAAATCTAAAATTTATAAAAATTGAAAGGGAGTTCATGTCAATAGATATAAACAATTCACCATAATTTCTTGCAAGTTGGTGAAAGCATTCTTGACTAATTGTCCGAAAACTGGAAAATCCCCCTTTTTTTAATGAATAAAACCCCATAACTCGGAAACCTAAAATCTAAATTTTATAAAAAACGAAAGGGAGCTCACGTCATTAGATATAAACAATTCAATAAAGTTTTATGCAAATTGGTTAAAGCATTTTTGAGTTAATGTCCGACATGTTGACGACGGACGGACGGACAGAGGTATACCATAATACGTCCCGTAAACGGGCGTATAAAAATTATTTACAGAAAGCATATATTGAGTAAATCGTTAAGAAAACTAATAGGTGATTGGAGTAATTGCATGGCTTTGATGTACTTGTTAACTTTTCAAAACCTTACTGAAAAACAATTATTGGACAATACTCAGTACATTATTAAATACTTTATTTTCATAGCATTTCCCTTTGAATGCATATGCAATCATTCTTTTAATTCTTCCCATTGTGTTTTCCTTGGTCACCATGTTGGATGTACACACTATATTTATAATGATCTTTTTGAACTTACCTGCTTTCTGTAAATCATTTTTAAGTTATAAAATACACTTATAATATGATATTATTTAATAATCAATGTTTAAATGTCACCAATATGTGCTAATATTAAAATTTCAAGTGTTATTTGGTCATTACAAGTGTTATTTGGATAATAACAGTGTTATTTGGTCATTCGAGGTACCGCTGTATATATGCATTGTAATATCTGCATGCTCTTTGTTTTTATCAAATCAAATATTTTATTGGATAAATAAAATTAAGAATGGAAATGGGGAATGTGTCAAAGAGACAACAACCCGACCAAAGAGCGGAAAACAGCCGAAGGCCACCAATGGGTCTAGCACACATGATAAATATGACATTGTGTAATCCAAGTGTACAACATACTTGACATATCGTCCTGAGAATCTTAAAGTGTTATAGGTCCAGTTTTGATAAAAATGGAGATAGCTATAGTGTAAATAAAACAGAATGCATAACCAGAGATATGATATATCATATATATATAACCAGTGGCGGATCCAGAACTTTTTGTAAGGGGGGCCCGTTGACTGACCTAAGGGGGGGCCCGCTCCAGTCACGCTTCAGTGATTCCCTATATAATCAACCAAATTTTTCCCCCAGGGCCCCCCCCCCCCCCCCTGGATCCGCCTATGATAACTACAAGTTAGTTTTGATTATGTTATTTATGTTCTGTAAAAAGCTCTCAAGAGTTTATGTTTGTAATGTTATATGTGACCCGAATCAAAATAAAACTTTCGTATTCGTATATCGCAAATCGGAGGATATTTCGGCATATTCAACTGTTCAAAGAAAATTTGTAAAATCACTAAGTGTATGCTCTTATGAAATATCTATTCCCATGGACACTTACACTTTCTGATTGGAATACAAAAATACATATCTTCATGTATCCCACTAAATTATATTGTTAAAATTTGGAACTTATAACACTTAATCAAATCTGAAACTAAATCTTATAGCTTTACACAGGGTCTCACTAATTAGCGACAAGAAGCGTCAAGAAGCGACAAGAAACGTCAAGAAGCGACAAGAAGAATAAATTTAGCGACAAGAAGACTCGATTTAGCGACAAGAAAACTTTAAAAAAAATATTATTAGAACAAATATATTAAAAAAAAATGCATTGACAGCAATAAAGAGATTTCATTTTTTTTTATTATATTGATAGATGAAGAAATTAATGAGTCAAGATAACATTTGGAGGTTTGCCTGTGATCTGAACAATTTCTTTCAAAGAATTAATATTGATGACAGCTTGCATATATCATCAGCAATATTTTGTTTGTTTAATAGGATAGGTACCTATGTATTCTGCTATTGCTTTATTCATGGTTTCAAGAGAATGAATGGCCAGGCATTTTTTTTCGAACCAGCTGATTATTTTCTTGTAAGAATTACTTCTTTTCATAGAAGCATAATGACGCTTAAGGATGAACAAATTGGTTGGAGTAACGGACGTGTGTCCCTTATTGTATTGCTACAATAACATTCAATTAACACCTATAACTTTGTACACGCGTCAGACTATGACAACTACACGCGCCAGAATATACAATAATTGTAAATAGTGAGCAACTGTTTAACACTCAACATTGTCTATAATTACCTTTAATCTTCAATCAACTTTAAACTATGCATAAACATCATACATATCGTTTGATAAGTCAATACCCAAATAAAATATTCACGTTTTAGTAACATTATCTTTTCTGGACACTGATTCACGTATAATGCATTTTGCATGCAGTCAGTTTATTATATTTTAGACAAAGAGAGTGTTAAAAAATTTATAAAATGAATATATTATTGTTCTAAAACACAAGAACATGTAAAAATTAATATCATACTATGACAGGAAAATTTCTATATTTATCAATATCTATCAATATATTTAAAAAAAAAATGAAAATCACTTTACTTTCCGTATATTAAAATAAAAATGTCAATGCATATTTTTTTAATATATTTATTTTAATAATATTTTTATTAAGTTTTCTTGTCGCTAAATAGTTTTCTTGTCGCTAAATAGTCTTCTTGTCGCTTCTTGTCGCTAAATTTATTCTTCTTGTCGCTTCTTGACGCTTCTTGTCGCTTTTTGTCGCTAACATTCTTCTTGTCGCTAATTAGTGAGACCGCTTCAACAGTACCCATCAGCGTGTGTGAAAACAGAACCTATGTCAATTAAGAGCCGGAAGTGAAAATAGAACCATATGTTACACATGCGTTATAGCCTACTAATAGACATATATATCTACCCAAAAGATGATGTGAACTGTCACGATACAGGATTTATTATCAAATTAAGTAGCTGAATAAACACACTTTCTACACAATTATCAATGGACATCATTAAACTGCTGAACTGATAATAAAAAAATGCATGAATTAAATGGCAACATTAAAATATCTTTCTCTGTTAAAGACACATAAATTTATGTTTTGTTTGGCACTGATGAATGAGAGTCTGGATGGGGTTTACAGAAAAGAGAATAATGGTAAAAAAAAAGGTGCAGAATAAATAAAGAATAGAGAAAAATTGGCAAAAATGATAATAAAAAAATAGAGAAGAGTATGGTGAACAATTATAAAGAATAAAGAATAATGGGCATGCACAATAAATAACAAATATAGAAAAATGATCTAAAAAATTAAAGAATAAAGATATAAAGGAACCCCTATCCAGACCCTCATGAATATTTGGTTCCAGTTCTATCGTAATTATTTACAAACGCTTGTTGCCCTTAATTTTGAAGATACAATTGTACCAAAAAAAAAGAAATTTATTGAAAGCTTAGGTATTGGGTTGATGAACGCTTCACTGTACCAGTAAAGTAAAAAAAAATGTGTATTTATTTTATATCTGGGACTAATTGATACATTTATCTATTAGTCCCAGTTTTATACATATTAAATTAGTCTTATTCAATATTAGAATGTAATATGTGTTTTCAAAGATATCAGACAGAACGATCATGACACAATGTCTATAATTACTACATTTATGAGTATTTCTAAAATATTAAAATACGATTACTATTACACAAGCATTTTCTCCCCCGTGAAAATTACTTTGATTGAAATAACTTAAGTTCATTGACCAGAAACTATTTATGAGTAAAACAGAGGTTGGAATTTAAAGAGAAAGATTAATTTGACGTAGTTTATTTATGTAGGCATGTAAATGATTAAAAATCTTTAAATGACAAAAAAAATTAATATGATTATCTACTAAATGTCTACATTATTAAAGCGTCAAAACGAAAGCGATTTTTTACTTCGTTCTGTTTAGTGGACGACTATTTGATTTTCGGGGGAGGGGTGGGGGGAGGAAATCCGCTAAAAAAATATGCATGCGTAGCCATGAACAGATGTAAATAAATAGCCAATCCACAAAAACCCAGAATATCAAATGCCCGTCCCCTTAAGTAAAATAAGGATGAAGCCATGTAAGAGGGTATGGATGGGGGATCCTTAATTTCTGTCTTCTTTAAATTTTTAGGGCATTTTTCTTTATCTGTAAAAATAACGCTTAAATAATTTTACAATTAAAATTTTCTATAATTGGAGAATTTCTTTATTCTGTACATCGTTCATTTCTCTAATCAGTAAAGTATTACACAATTCTTTTATTTTCCAGTTATTCTCTATTCTTTATATTTTCTGCTCATTTTTCTCTATTCATTATACGTGTTATATGTTTTTGCCATATTTCTCTATGAATACCCCATCCAGACCCTCATGTTATTGTAACGTAAATCTCTGTAATTTATTGTTATACTTACACTGTATATTTCCCCTCTGATTTTTCAAAATCTTCCTTCCCTTCGAAAAAGACTGAACAACGATACACCTATGTCTATATATATATATATATATAAGGTGTATATATGAACCAAGTCTGTATATGGAATATATATAACGTGTTAATCCAGAACCAAGTCTGTATATGGTATATATATATAACGTGTCAATCCAGAACCAAACATGTAATTCCAGAACCAACACCTTGTCAATCCAGAACCAAGTCTGTATATGGTATAAATATAACGTGTCAATCCAGAACCAAACATGAAAAACTAGAAACAACACCATGTTAATTCAGAACCAAATGATTTAATCTGTTTATGGTATAGATATAACGTAAGCATCCAGAACCAAACATGTAAATCTAGAACCAACACCTTGTCAATCTAGAACCAAGTCTGTATATGATATAAATACAACGTGTTAATTCAGAACCAAACATATAAATCCAGAACCAAGTCTGTATATGGTATAAATACAACGTGTTAATTCAGAACCAAACATATAAATCCAGAACCAAACAAGTAAATTTAGAACCAACGCCTTGTCAATCCAGAATCAAGTCTGTACATGGTATAAATATAACTTGTTAATCCAGAACCAAACATGTAAATCTAGAACCAACACCTTGTCAATCCAGAACCAAGTCTGTATATGGTATATATATATAACGTGTTAATCCAGAACCAAACATGTAAATCTAGAACCAACACCTTGTCAATCCAGAACCAAGTCTGTATATGGTATATATATATAACGTGTTAATCCAGAACCAAGTCTGTATATGGTATATATATAACGTGTCAATCCAGAACCAAGTCTGTATATGGTATGAATATAACGTGTTAATTCAGAACCAAACATGTAAATCCAGAACCAACACCTTGTCAATCCAGAACCAAGTCTGTATATGGTATAAATATAACGTGTTAATTCAGAACCAAACATGTAAATCCAGAACCAACACCTTGTCAATCCAGAACCAAGTCTGTATATGGTATAAATATAACGTGTTAATTCAGAACCAAACTTGTAAATCCAGAACCAACACCTTGTCAATCCAGAACCAAACATGTAAATCTAGAACCAACGCCTAGGGGGGGAGGGGGGAGGAGGGGGGATGGGTATACTGAGGAAATGGGTCACATGAAATCCGATGATTGCTTAATTTACAGGAACAACTGAGTTCACACCCGGTTTTATATGAAATTCCCGTAGCTTTTGTGTAATGTTTTGTATTCCATTTTTCACCGTACAGAGTCTGTCATCTTTTTATGCCCCCTCAACTGAAAGTTCGGGGCATATTGTTTTACCCCTGTCCGTCCGTCCGTCCTTCCGTCTGTCCGTCCGTCCTTCTGTCCGTTCGTCCTTCTGTCCGTCCGTCCGCCCCATTATGGGTATATAGCTATTCCAAAAAAACTCCTCATACAATTTGAATACTAGGAAGTTTTCATTTTGCTGGCTGTTTGTACATATATTGAAGGTGTGCATGTGGTCAGGGTTTTGATTTTTATTGATATTTGCTCTTTTGGGAGATAGTTGAAATTTGTCATTTTTAGAGTTTATACTTGCATAAGAGGTGCATAGCTATTCCAGATAACTCGTCCTACAGTTTGAATGCTATATAGGAGGTTTTCACTTTGCTGGCTGTTTGTACTTATATTGAAGGTGTGCATGTAGTCAGGGTTTTAATTTTTATTAATATTTACTCTTGTGGGAGATAATTTAACATTGTCATTTTTTTTTTTTGCATAAGAGGTGCATAGGGTTTTCGGATAATTCCTCCTACAACGAACCATAGACCTATGTGCTCCCATGCTCAACTTTGTGTATTTTAAAAAAACATTTTGCATCTGCGGGGGCATCATTTGTGTCTCCCAGGCACAAGAATATCTCAAAGAAAGTCCTACATTGACTTTGTTATAATACAGTTACTTCAGATTGGAGTGCGGGGGCATCACTTTGTCTAGTTATTATAGTTAACTTGTGTTGCCTTGATATAAAGCAAAACATTATAATTTAAATGACAATGAATTTACATCAATAGTTTAAGAACATGGTTAGTTTAAGAAGATGTTCAAGACAATGTTCAAGTTCTACGTTTCGTTCTCAGACCTTTTTCATAGACTTTTAACTAGAAAAACATCTTGCTTCACTTTTGTTGTTTTTGTAA